TAGCAAAGAAGGTGAAATGATTTATCTCTAAAGACTGTGGGACGGAGGCTGGAATTATAAACTTCTTGGTTTCCAAGGCAAAAAAGTTGGATGTAGCAGAGGCCTCATAGTTTCCTTTTGTTACCATACTTGTAGGCAGGGCAGTGCTCTTCTTTTAACCATACTAAGCTTCTCTTGCCATATGATTTATAAACTAGAGCAGCTGTAATTCAAGTTCAACCTATTCAAATAACTGTATGTGCTATTGATCTGGTTACACAAAAGAGTATCGTGTGAGAAAAGAAAGCTAATGGGTGACAACTTTCCCGCAATTGTATCTTCCAGTCGTCCCTCTTTCAGTGTTACACAGCTCTCATGAGTAGACAATTTAAGACAGCCGAACCCAGTAGAACCTTGTTGTATTCATCAGTGGGACCACCTGCTCAGATTGTGGAAGCTCTCCAGTTTTAAAAAGGGATCAGGTAATAACTGATGCCCCTTCCAACTCTTTGATTCTAAATCTACTGGATTTCCTAGAAAGCTACTGCCAGTTCATGTAGAAAGTACTAGGCTAGATGGTCCTGACTCCCCACTGAGCTGGCTCTGGACTTTGACTCGGAAGCCTCTGAAGAAGAGCCTGAGGAGCCAAAAACATGATCTGGGAGAGAGCAGGAAATTCTAGGAGCCCCCTGCAGAGGAGATGTCCCCAGTTTATCTGCCCCAAAGCTTGACCCTGAGGAACATGCAGTGGGAGCTTCACCAGAACTTATCCCTAAAGAGCCTGAAGGAGGAGCTCCTCTATCAGAACTTCCCTCTTTCCCCTCATGTCCTGGAGCAACTAAGCACCAGGCCAGGACTTGGTCTACAAGCCCCCCAGACCCCACCTCTACCTGGCAGGAGCCATGAAGGCAGTGGGCCCATGCGGAGATAGTCCAATGAAGTTGTAGTTCCAGGTTTGCAAATCAAACTCCACCGTCTGAGTCAGATCATGGTGGATATAATACTTTGCAGGATTCTGGCCCAAGTTAAGACTGGACAAGATGAGTCCCAGATGCTGATTTCAGAGCAGGTGGAGCTGCTGTCCTCTTAGCCTATTTAAGCTTTGGGTTGGAAGGGTAAGCTTGCTGGATCAGCTGGTCTACTAGATTTAAGTCTGTATGTCAGTTCAAGAGCCTGGCCTCCAGTTTCAGCTCCTGGCTGCTGGCACCTTTCAATAGTCCCAAGCCTTGCTATCTAGACAGGCGGGTACTATTCCAGAGGAGACTTGACTGGGCTTGCCTGCCCAGTGCAGGACAAGTTGGACCTATTGTCTGAGTCTGTAGAAGGCAGCTTCATGTGTCTATTATTTTGCACCGATTATTTTCGTGTACACTGGTTAGAAGTATGTGATCTAGGAATTATGTTACAGGTACACAGTTATTGTGTAATCTGATAGTCTGTAGCCTACTTAGAATAGCAAGTAAACCTGATGTCTGCATAAGTCTGATATATAGGTATAACTTGAAGATTCACTGGCATAGCTACTAACTGACACCACATAGGTATAAACCCGATGCCAGAGTTTCTGCTCAGGCATTGTATACATAAATTGACAGTGCCAGGGGCCTGCCAATGGAGGAGAAGCAGGGCTTTGTTAGTAACCCCCCGTAAGCCTATGTTGTGATTCTAGCGCTATCATAATGTTATGCTGGCAAGATCACTGGCATAAACACTGCCCTTGGATGGCAGTGAAAAAACAAGGTCTTCGAACCATGCCTATCCAGCCACAGCACATCTTAAGATACTAAGTCTACAGCTGATTACAGATCTCACATGGGCACATGAAGCTGCCTTATACTGAATCAGACCATTGGTCCATCAAGGTTGTGCTCCTTGTCTAGGGGAGGCTGTGGGGTTTCCTTGCGGGTTCCTTTGGGTGAGTGACTGGTGGAGGTGCCCGGGTGATATGGTTGGGCTGTCAGTGTTTCCTTTCCTGTGTGTCCACCTGTAAAAAGGATATGTGTTTGTAGGATGGTATTCAAATCTGCATCTGTGCTGTTTCTAAGGGTATGGCAATTATATTGTTCCTATAAGGCATGCCACAGTCCTCCAGTTTTCTTTCCTTATTTGGTACATAGTGAGGAAAGGCGATGTTGGTGGGATGTGTCAGTGTGCATTGGTTGGCTATTTCTTTACATGGGTGTTTTTGGCATATACTGCATGATTGGTTGAGGGTGGTGTCACTGGACTCCAGAGCAGTTGCTAAAGTCTCAGTTCCTTGGACTTGGGTCTTTTGAGATAGCAATGGAGCTATGCTAGCAGCATTGGCAAAGTAACCGGGATTTGGGGCTTCAAAGTGAGCTGCCCATTTCCCAGCTATCATCCCACATGCCTAACCAGACTGACTTCACAATACCATGTTACAAACTAGTATTTCTACAAAATTAGTTCTTCGGTTCATTTTTTTTCTCTTTGGTTCTCAAACGTATCTTGTGAGGTCAGAAGTAATTCTTGATTTACTCATTCAGCTGAAATTTGTAAACAGTTCCAGGAGTCTAAGCTCCATTCAATTCCACCTTAATTGGGGCTTCTCTGCTTAGCCCAAGCAATCTTTGAAATAGCAGATTGAAATCTTAAACGGAAGATTATTATGCTCCCACTTACAGGTTGGTTGGCTCAGTGCTTTGTTCTTAGTGATATTAATGCTCACCCAATTTGTAAACGTCTTTGATATCTGAAGATGAAAAAGTTCTAGACAAAGGCAAAGCACTTTTCTTAACTGCATTGTGACCTGTCTAGTAATGTAGTATGTGCAATTTTCTTCACAAGAGGCAGATGGTATCTTCAAGTGCAAGTTGGTGGCAGACAGTTGAGACTGTAGCCTGGAGACAGTGGATGTCTAGGACAGATGCCGCTGAGCACTCAAGTTGCAAAAACAACTCTGCTATCATGGAGACTCCCCCCCCCCAGTAGTTTTAAGTCACTTCCTCAGAGGGACAGTGGATGAAAAAATATTGGCACACATGTGCACTATCATATACTTTGAATCTAAATGTTTCATCCAGTTACAATTATCTGATCCTGGTTTATATGGTTTAACGGAGAGAATGATAGCCTACAGTACATATTAGGTAGAGCAAATGTGATCAGGGCATGGATCTAAGAGCAAGAAGCTAATATTTATTTCTGCAAAACATTTTTATCTATTCTTGTAATATGGGTTCCTTGAAATCAGCTATATAAAACAGACTTCTATTGAAGTTATACTTTATGCATCTGGTGAACTGTGCTCTATCTTGCTTTTGCTGAAGCAAATTCACATTTTTGTTGTTGTTCAGTCGCACAGTCGAGTCCAACTCTTCGCGACCCCTTGGACCAGATCACGCCAGGCCTTCCTGTGTTCCGCTGTCCTCTGAAGTTTGCTCAATTTCATGTTCGTTGCATCTATGACACTGTCTAACCATCTCATCCTTTGCCGTCCCCATCTTCTTTGACCTTCAATCTTTCCCAGCATCAGGGTCTTCTCCAGTGAGTGCTCCCTTCTCATTTGGTGGCCAAAGTAGGGAGAGAATAAAATAAAAACTGCAGCTGTAATTAAAATGAAAACTGGTGTCACCAAAATTTCAGCAGTAAATGTCAATCCTTTGTAAAAGTTACGTCATCAGTGAGTTCTACAATGATAAACTAGTACAGATTCTTACCAAATACCAACCATGGTAACTTCAAGTCAGTGAACATAGTGAATATAGTGCTGGATTGAGAACGGGGAGACTTTGGAGGAATGGTGGGATTAAAAATGAAATGTAAACGTTTCTCGATAAAGATATTGGATTGGATCCAAACAGCTGGTGAAAGAGGGAGGAGGGGGTCTCTGTTGACCACCAAAAGGACTCTGCTGTGGATGAGACCAGTTTTGACAAAAGCCATGAAATATAGGGGATGTAGTTAAAGGGAGTATTGGCCAAGTGTGAAGAAGAACATTGGGCTGGATACAACCCTTTCTTTATTTATATAAGCATTTATATCCCAGTTTTCTTCCCAATAGGAATCCAGTGCAGTTTACAGAACAGAAATACAGCATAAATTATAAATGATGGGGAAGAAAGGTTTCTGAATACAAGGCAGCTCTTCCTCTCTCATTGCCAGAAGATCTTCCAGTTCCAGGCAATAACCCTCAAGCCACGGAAGGAGATAGTAGTTTAGTGGAAGATCCTCTGCAAAGCATGCAGAAGGTCCCAGGTTCAATCTCCTGCATCTTCAGTTGACGGGTCTAGGTACTAGGTGATGTGAAAGACCTTGGCCTGAGACCCTGGAAATCTGCTGTCAGTCTGCGTAGACAATAGTGAACTTGGTGGACCAATGGTCTGATTCACTTTAAGGCAGCTTCATGTATGACAATTAGCCCTTTTGCTCTTGTCCATCATCCTGTGCCACACAGGCTTAGATTTGTGGGCCAGCTCAGGCTTTAAAAGGTTAGCTGCAAAAGAAGGGGTGGGGCAAAGGTTGACCTACAAGGTGTTGCAGCAACTGGCTTGTGTTCCAGTCTCCTCCCCCCCATAACCTACACTGTAACTTACTAAATATTTCTCTTAATGCTACCAAATGCTGCATGGCTCATAATATGGCAAATGAAGACTTATCCACATTTGGGCTGGGGAGGGGGAATGGGACTTTTGACTGTATTGCAAATCAACATCCTGATTTTCAAAGGACCAGACCTGCTGTTTTGTTTGTTAGGGTTTTAAACATACCACCAAAGTCCCAACTCAGTGGGCAAGTCAGTTGTGCTGGTCTATAGAATATGCCCTCAGAGCACAATATTAAAATTACTGGGCATGTCTATGTTCTTGTAGATTGTAGATTTGGGAACTGTAGCCACTTCTGATCAAGGATCATCTGATGAATTATATATACTGTACCTGAATTCATCTAGATCTTTCTATGTTTCTTATGTTTTCTAATACGTGGAGGTACATATTGCGTGATATTAACTTATCCCTTTAGTTATTTACAACGTAGTATTTCTGTTCTTCCCCTCTTAGGCTGTTTGATGTATGCACAGTGTCCCGAACAGACCGAGAGACCAAACTAACACTTGTGTTCGAGCATGTTGATCAAGACTTGACCACTTATTTGAATAAAGTTCCAGAACCTGGAGTGCCTAGCGAAACTATAAAGGTATCAGAGAAGGGTAGGGGGTGGAGGTTGGTACATAAGTTTATGCAATATTATGCTAAGTGTGAAGAGACATACAGTGAAAAACCTTGCTAACCAACTGACCAACCAACCAACCATGGCTCTAAGATGCACTGATCTTTTTCAAAGGATATGGTTTAGAATAAAAATTTTCACAATTGAAAATAATTTCATGCTATTTAGCTTTGCACTTACCAACCTTTATATTGTAACCATTATTTCCTAATTGCGTTAAATTGGCAAATGGCTTCTAAAAGAATTCAGGAAAAGCCTAAACCGTGTAGGCATGGTTCAGATGTAATGCTTGTCTATATTTTGGAGCTACATGAATGAGCCTTAAGTTTATGCTGTTCTACCCATTGCATGCTTGGAAGTCAGTTCATTACTTCCATTTTAGCACCAACCATAGAAGGTTTGTGGCCTGCAGTTCAATAATAGAGCCTCTGCTTGGCATGCAGTAGATTCTAGGTTCAATCCCTGGCTTTTCTAGTTAATTAAAAAAATCAGGTTGTACGTAACTTAAAAGACCTCTGCCTGAGACCCTGAAGAGCTGCTGCCAGTCTGAGTAGACAGTACTGACCTTGATCAACCAAGGGTCTGATAGCCTCATGTGGTCATAGTTCTTCAAAATATAGTTAGTGTTTCCACTTCAAACCAAGATCACAAACCAGAAAATGAATCTGGTTTGTAATCCTTGGAAGGAAAGGACAAACTGAAGTTGAGTGATTCAGATGTAATCTATATATATCAAAGAAAGTCCCCTCACCGTAAAATCAATGCCCAATTTGGGGAGAGCGCTCCCAGTGTGGCATAGGTGCTTGCTAAGAAGGGATTTTTAGAAATTCGACCCCCAAGTGGGTCAAAAGGGGTAAAATGTGCTCCCTCCATTGATTCCTATGCGGCTGCCAGGCAGCTGCCTTCCTGCACCCCCCACTCTCAGATTGGTCAACTGCAAAGCTCAGTGTTCTGAGGTTAAAAAAAAAACAGTTACAGGGGACTGCAGAGAGCTAATGACAGTTGAGAAAATCAGGAGTGGCCAACGACCACCTGTGAGGTGAAGCAAAGCTGCTGGCCCAGCCTCTCTGATGGCTTCCAACACACTCCCCCCACCTCCTACACCTAACAGGCGGTTGTCTGTCAGGTGCAGCCCCACCTCCACAGTGGCTTTTAATACTCCTCCCCCCTTCCCCTCCTACACTGGACAGGCAACTGCCTGTCAGGTGTAGGAGAGGAGGTGGGATGCTTACAGCCACTGGGGAGGGTTGCTCAGCAGGATTGCCTTAGCACTGCTGTTGGCCCAGCCTCCCTGATGCCCTTAAATACAATCCCCCCCAACACCAGACAGGCCGGTGTCTGTCAGGTGTAGGAGCAGGAGCAGGGTACTTTAATCCATCAGGGACCCTGCCCCAGCAGGATCACCTTAGCAATGCTGCTGGCCCAGCCTCCCTGATGGCTTCCAACACACTCCCCCATCTTCTACACTTAACAGGCAGTTGTCTGTCAGGGCAGCAGTGGTTGCAGGGTGTTTAAAGCCATGAGGGAGCCTGCCCCAGCAGTAACACCTTAGTGATCCTGCCAGCCTTGCCTCCACAGTGGCTTCTAATACTCCTCCCCCCCTCCCCGTTCTACACAGGACAGGCAGCTGCCTGTCAGGTGTAGGAGAGGAGGTGGGATGCTTACAGCCACCGGGGAGGTTTGCTCGGCAGGATTGCCTTAGCACTGCTGCTGGCCCAGCCTCCCTGATGCCTTTAAGTACAATCCCCCCCAACACCAGACTGGCCTGTGTCTGTCAAGTGTAGGAGCAGGGCCAGGGTATGAATGTTTATGGGGAGATCGTAAAGGACATTTCTAGGAGCCATTTTGCTGTGTGCCTCCCTCATGAACCTGAAGAAATGTCCACCACATCACCACTTCCTCGCACCAACTCCCCCTTCACTTCTTACTGCCCCCAAGAAAGCTCCTGGCAAACGTCGAACCAAATATACCAATGCTACAAGGTGGAGGCAACTTAGGAATGCGGCAAAGACATTTGCACATAGTACTCCTGCAGTGCACTGAGCTGCACAGGCCAAGTACCAGCGAGATCGCCCTGAACAACACAGTCTCCATATGAGCAAAACAATCCAGGAACACAAGTAGAGAGGTCATCACTTTCGTGGAAGGTAGCAGGTTGACCTAACAGACGACTGCTTCTTAAATGGATCGTTCTATGTGGCCTGCTCCAGAGTGAGCTCATCAAGCAGCCTGGTGATCCTAGCATCTGAGGGTAGAACCACCGATGTGATCTAGAGAGAGGTCTTTCAGTAGAGGGGGGGGGAGTACGTATGCCTCACTTAATTTCTTACACTACAATCTTCTCTGTTACAATTCCTACAACAAATGTCACATCTCAAATTTCGCATCATCAGTATTATAACTGGATTTACGGAACTTAAATACTGTAGCGAAGCACAGTATCAGGATAGTGGCAAATAAATTAATGGTCTGAACATGCAATAGTAAGGGAAGGAGCAGAGTGGACAAGGAGAGCTAGTTTACATACATCCAAAACAAGAGACAAGTTGGTGCAGTGGGAAAATTAATTGTAATTCAACTCTGAGACCCCTACATGCTTTGCATGTACTTTATTAAAGGGATCTGTAAAATATCACAGTCTGAAGAGCTGCTATAACAACAGAGTTGTCACGTACAGCGAAGCCACAGGTGGGTATTACATTTGAGCCATGCCATAATATTATTATTAGCATAAAAGAATTGTTTTGCTATCTGCCATATTCTATCCATCATATTCTACCATATAGAGGAGGCTGTTCCTATGACATATGCTTATACTTTTTGGATAGTTCACTACTGGTTGTGATAGCAGGCATGCAGCAAGTGCCAAAACTATATAAACAAATTCAAGAAGCCCTGATAAAACATACTTAAATATTTCTCCGATAAGAACAATCTCATGCTACCATTGTGGGCTATTTGCAGTGCAATCCTATGAAGGCTTTAGTCTAAGCCCATTGATTTCAGTGGTGGAATTTGACATCACGTCAGGGCTGACTTAAGACAACCCTGTAGGATTTTCAAGGCAAAAGACATTCAGAGGGACTGTGGTTCAGTGGTAGAACATCTGCTTGGCATGCAGAAAGTCTCAGGTTCAATCCCCAGTATCTCCAGTTAAACGATCTGGCAGTAGGTGATGTGAAAAACCTCTGCCTGAGACCTTGGAGAGCCCCTGCCAGTCTGAACAGACAACACTGACTTTGATGGACCAAGGGTCTGATTCAATGTAAGGCAGTTTCATGTGTTCATGTGGTTTGCCATTGCCTGCCTCTATGGGCTTAGACTGGAGTAACTCTGCATAGGATTGCACTGTTGGCACAGTCTAATTTTGTCTACTGTGAGAGGCAGATGATACAAGGAGGGGGCCTATAGGCTGTTGGCATTTCACATGGGCAAGGACATCGGATTGGGCCAGGTTGCAGTGTTCTCTCTTTACTGGTCCACATTCTCAGTGCTGGATCCTGTGCTTCACTAGTGCTGAGTTGTTGAGCATAGTATCCAGTTTCTAGTTATTACCATCTATGAAAAATGGTTGCCCTACTTTACATGGTTTAGGCCATTATGAGACATGTGTGTCCAAAGTAGAATGGACCATGCATCTGTTGCCCTTTCTGTATACTTTCCATTCTGTCCATAAACCAGCCAGTGTATGTCATAATCGCACGTCAAAGAATCAATTAACTTCGAAGATCTGGCTTTTCTGAAAATGTCAATCTTTCATGTTGCGCTGAAAGTAATCTGCCATCTGCCATGTCCGCACATAATCGGTTGACCATGTTTGAAATATACTGCAGATGTTGGCAGAATGTATTGAAAGCAAGAAAGGAAACTCTAGGGACAGATATATAGAAATTACATAAAAGGAAAAAATCCCCAGAAGATCAGCTGTCTTGAGCATTGCTTGAATGAATATGGGATTTTTAAAATACCATCTTCTCTTTATTGCTACAGCTTGAACAATGCATTAATATTGGTTTTGTTTCATTTGTGCCTATTTGAAGAATATGTGTTAGATTAATACTGCTTCTGCATTGTGCCAAAAGTCTGCTAAGCCCTGTACAGAAGTGACAAAGTCATGTCCTGGCATATTTACAGTTGAAGGCTACAAACATCTGTACTTGCAGCTGGATGTAAGACTCATTGAACTTACTTCCAAATAAATAAGCAAACCATTGGCTTATAAATCTGCAGCATTAAAGAAATTACTAGAAAGTAAATATAAATGCAATCAGTAATATATGGACTTTTGGGGCTGGAAGAGATTAAACTGTGATCAAATACAATCCTATCCTCCAAGAGGAACTCTTCCACATTATTTATTTAAATATTTATGTGTTGGCTCCCCACCACTATGGTGGTGGCATACATAAGCAATAAGAAAATGACAGATTAGCTGCCAGATTTGTACCTGAGCCGCTTTGGTGGGAGGGCGGGATAAAAAATCTAATAAATAAATAAATAAATGAAAAGGATGGCCTTACTTTTTTTTTTACATGAAAGTTGTAACATAGGAGCCTCCATTCCTCTTCCTGGAGGCATTCGATAATGCCAAAAAAGCACGGTGACTGACAGAATGAAGGTAGCGCTCAACCATGAGGAGGGTCTCAGAGGGCTTGGCCTAGATTGTCTAGGAGTTTAAAGGTCAAAAGTAGCACCTCTAACTGAACCCGGCAGCCTATTGGTAGCTGGTATAACTAGCTACAAGATGGGAATATGCTCCCATCTGTTCACTTCACCCACATTTTGCACCTGTTGTAGATTCTGGACAGTCTTTAAGGGCAGTCCTACAAAGAGCACATTACAAAAGTCTAGTCTTGAGATTCTGGAAGCTTGGATCAATTTGGTCAGGTCCTTGGAGCTCAGGAAGGGAGATAATTTCCACACCAAATGCAGCTCACAGAATGCATTCTTTGCCACTGCATTCATCT